TTGACGAGTACGTCACCGCAAATCGCTCCGCCCACTCATTTTATTGGCTACTTGCAAATTTGTCGAATTTTTATTGATGGGACGCGTCGTCTAATTTTTTACGAAAAACATCGAGAGAATATCGTTTCCCCTCTCACGGATACCGCGTAGCTACAGAACGGACAGACGTACTGTAATACTGTAGTGAAAAGTATAATAACTTGCGGAAGCGAAGTTAAAAAGCAGAACGGAGAACATGCTATTAGCGACCGAAATGGATTACTGGAGGAGATCTGCTGAAAAACCGAAAAGAGAAAAAATAACCAACGACAGAGTAAGAGAGATTATGGGAGCAAAACACGCAAGTGGACGACACAAGAACAAAACAACTCATATGGTTTGGCCATGTGCAACGAATGCCCGACCACAGAATACCAAAACAAATTTTACTCTGGACACCGCGAGGCAGAAATAAAAGTGGGAGGCCACGACTAAGCTGGAGGGAGGGTGTGGATAAAGAACTGGAAAATAGAGAAATACCTGATGATCTTTGGCTAAATAGAGAAGAGTGGATGTTAGGTGTCGGAAAACGTCGTAGAACGTTCTGAACCGACTTATATACATATACACTAAAAACGATACAACCTGCTTGCGAAATGCATGCGAAACCTGATGGACACGTTAAACGGACATCATAAGGAAAACACTGATGGACTCGTTAAAACGGACATCATAAGGAAACTGCAGGTTGTACAACGCTCAATGGAATGAAATATGCTGGAAATAACCAAAAGAGACCGTAAAAGAAGAGAGTGGCTACGACAAAAGACCCAGGTAATTGATGTCATCCGTAGAGTCAAATCTCTCAAATGGCAACTGGTGGGCAGATCACCTGGTAAGAAGAACGGACAATAGATAGACCACAAGAATTACACCATCACGGTCTTTCTGCCGAGGAGCAAAGGAAAAGACACCACCTACCTACTGAGCCTTATCCAGCCTCAGAACTCCAATGTAAGGACACCGAGTTGGCGAGTCATCAACTCGAGGGAGGAGGGCCTTCGGTCAGATATTCACAATAGAAATGAACCTCAAATCCAAAAAGGCAATAGAAAAAGAAATATATATCGTCTATTATAGATTCGGGACAACGCAACACCGGTATCAGATCTAAGGAGAGACAAAGTTAAAGTGGTGGAGAGCATGGAGGGCCAAATTCCAACCGTGGAAGGGTGAATACGGTGTAGGAAGGGTGTAGGAGGCAGATGCCCACTCGCCGGAGAAAGAACGTCTGTTGTCCAGAGGAGGATGGAAAATACCCTGTCTCCCCTACAACAAGAAAATCACCATGTTATAACTCAAAAAAGAGGGACACAATGAATCTTTAAGTTGCGCTGATTATAACCACATTCTACATTCTCAAAATCAAACAACCAGTGATATAGTAAAGTGTTTTAGATGGTGTTCTCAAAAATGCCCTGTACAAATACTAAAATCTTTGATTTAAACATTCTTTGATAAAATAATACAAAAATATATAAAACAACAGAAGTTCACACTACTAAATCGTACTGCTTATAAAAGTTGACGTTTTGATAATAACTGCACGTTAAAAATAAATTTCAATCTTGGCACTAACCATCTGTTTGTGTACTAAATCATACATAACATCCACACTACCGTAATATACAAATATCCCAACAGAAAAAAGTCACACAAAAATGTATGCATCTATGTTAGGCTCCATTTTCAATAAGTCCCGAGAATATAGCCAACAATTATGAGAATTAGTTAAGTAATTCCTTTAAAAAAATGTATACGAACGGGGGATAACAGCTTCATTTATCAGTTCGGGACGAAGTTGGATAGCGGCCAGTAATGTCACAAAACAAGGTCCTTTATTTATAGAACACGCCATGCAAGCGGACACGTTGGAATTGAATTTTTGTTGTGCACAGTAGCCGTTCGAATCATTTTCCATTAGGGATATGACAACTTAGATTTTTGCTTTTTGTTCACGTTCAAGGTAAACTAGATCTATAGTTGTACTATCCAGACAGCAAATTCAGGCTGTTTTGACTGGTGGTTAATGCGTCACTTTTGACGTCATATTCATTGCGTAGTCGTTCTTGTTTTTCATCTGAACTTCGGTTATTCGGTTATTATTATATTTCGGTTATTATTATTCGGTTATTCGCATATAAAGAATTGTTTATTTTATATGAATAAAATAATTGCAAGCAACTTAACGCAACAACACAGTCTCCTCTATCCCTGGGTCCTGTACCAGCTTGTGCAGGGCTTAGCCTTGCTATCCCAAATAGAAAGTATCGCTTGCAATCTCGAGCAGTGACATAGGATATACTCCCCCCTGTGTTAGGATATTTAACATAAAGTCTGCAGTGAAGACTTCTTCTCTTGGAACATGTTGATCTTGTTAAGGTAGTACTTGGATAGTCATATATCCTGTCAAAAGACCTGTTGCAATCGGCACTTTATTGCATCTGAGCCTGTATGTATGGAGGGTATGAGAGTTTGTATGGGAGGGGAAGTAAATTACCGCGACTTTATATATCTATTGTGTCCCCCTTTCTTTAGCTATAACTCACTATACAGTTTCAGGGCTTTTATAAAAACTAGTATTTGAGACGGTTTCACAGAGGGTAGTTCTCCATCTCCAATATAAGTCGTACTAAAGTTTTTTACTGGGCTTTCCTCATTTTCCCCACAAAATATGCATTCTCCGTTGTTTCTTAGCTTCAAGGTGAGGTGTTCATTGAGGAGACAGCATCCTCTTAAAAATCCCGTGACAATCCGAAGATTGTTCTTACTTAAATCAAGAAAAATCTTTGATTATACTCAGTTGTAAGTCCGAGTGTCTTAAACCGGGTTGGAGGATTCTCAGTCCATCAGGTTACTGATGAAGTCCTCCAGGTTCTGAGTTCTGCTTTAAGTTGGTTTTCACTTGGAAAGCAGAACGGTTCTGGTTTAGTTAGTGGAGTATTCGCTCCTTTTCTAGCTAGATCGTTTGCTTTTTCGTTACCTTCTATCCCTTGGTGGGCTCGCACCCAGAGTAGAGGACTTTATTTTCTGTGCTTAATTTGTTCAGCTTCTCTAGTCATTCCTTGACCAACTTTATTGATGGTTACTGAATTGGTCGCACTTAAAGGTACATTCAGGCTGAGAGCGTCGAGCGTCGCGTCATTGAACTCGACCCCCGACGCTCAGCGGACGCTAGCGCAACGCCAAACGCGACGCTGTCTGCCTGAACGGTCTAATTTAAGTAAAGTGAATTGATTCCATTTCGACACGCAGACGCGACGCAAATGCGACGCGACGCTCGACGCTCTCAGCCTGAATGTACCTTAAGGTTGCTTGACTATCGGAAAATATGGCTATTTCTCGTTTCCGCATCTTGTACGCATATTTTGGTAGCATAGATTTCTCTCTGAAAGATGCTTACGAAGGTGCCCATTGGTCGGAATATTTAGTTTTCGGCCGAAATACTCCTATCCCTGTTCCTGCTTTGGTTTTGGAAGCATCGGTATACCACGTTATAGTATGGTATTATAACTGCTGAGAAAACGTTTCTCTCTTCCAATTATAACAATAGAACATAGTTCCTTCGGTTCCAGCCTTGCTGTCCAAATAGAAAATATCGCATGCAATCTAGAGCAGTGACAATATGATTTGCTCTGCGTGTTAGGAGCGTCATCACAAAGTTTGCAGCAAATATTTCCTTAATACAGGTTGAACTTGTTCGGGTAGCAATTGGCAGCCATACTGCCTGTCAAGAGACCTGTTGTAATCCACACGGTACTCTTTTGATTACTAGCAGTTCTACTGTATTTTTAGAATTAGGTCTTTATAATGAAGGCCCTGTGCCCCTGTCTATTTCTACAGTGGACGGTCTGCTTTTCTCAGAGTTTTAAGCAAATATTTTCGATTGTAATGTTTCGATGTACAAATACGATATAAGTTGAAAGTTGGCGGATAAGTTGAAAGACTGGTTCTTAATAAACTATCATTTTTGTCGTTGTCTATTCACGTGAGCATCTCCTTACGTGTCTATCATTCTCATTTGTTATCTATCAAGGATATAAGATTGTTGATGCGGCTCTCCGCTGTTTCATGGAGTGTCAACTTTTGAAGGTCAATCAGGGTTGTAAAAGATTATAATGTCCTCTAAATATGTTAAATATTCATAATGGCTATTCATTTTTCTAAAAAAACTTTTTTTTTATTATGTTTCCGTCGTGTATCTCTGTCCGATGAAATCCATTCGCCAAGTCAAATGGACTAAATATTGGCACTTTCCAAATGTATCCAACAGGTTAGCAATATTTGGCACTGGGTATTATATAGTGATGACATAGTGTATGCATTTAGACTTGCTCTTATGACTGTTGTTATTATTTAACTAACAATTCGTTACTCTTTATCATTGAAGAGGTGCCTATAAGATGGCATGTCACATATTGATTGTTATTATATATACTTTTCAATGGAGTTATTTAACCTATCTACACGATGTCTTCCGATCGAGACCAATATGTGAGCGATGGTGCATATGATCCCACCTTGCAAAGTTGGATACGACGTTTCATTTATATCTTCATCAGGGTGGGACTAACAATTTGATATTGAAGAAAAATGTGGGTCGATTTCGGCATAATTGTGGACGGGCTACAGGATGGCGCTCTCGACCTTTTATACTGATGCCTCTAAATGGACGACATCATCAGCATTTTTCTAAATTATGGGTCGATTGGAACCAAACTCGGCACTTGGATAGAGGTACCCGAATGGATCCCTCAAACGGACAGACGGGTAGATGGACAGACAGGCAGACGGACGTAAGAAGTTTCACTTCAAATATGCGCACATAGTGCACACAATTTTTTTTATTTAGTGTTAACTAAGAACTATTTATATTTATGTATGTCACCCAAAATTGTTGGTTTTAAATTTACATGCACCAATCAGATTAATTATATAATAAATAAAATATTATTTTGTACCTGTCTGGTGACATGAATGTCACCATTTTGGTCCTCTCCCCTCCTTCCTGGTCCATATTCGTAAGAATCAAAGTAATTATTGTCGATTGAAGTTAGCGGCGTGTACGTTGGAGTTAACGCCGACCCTCCTGTGCTGTATCCTGAAAATTCACAAAACACGCGTCAAAAAACTGCCAGATAAAAAACACGGCGTCAAGTCGGTTTGAAAATGACGATTGATAACATTCCCAGTATAATTTTGCATTTAAATTGACAGTAATCTTAATTTCAAAGCTCACTCTAAAATTTTTTGCATTGCGGCAAAAAAACCTTATTAATATTGACTCAATTCTTCAAATGAATTAGTTAAATATGCGAGTCTTGGAAGGCACATTACAAGATTATCATTTTACAATAATTACCAACGTATTATTGGTATTCACCCGTGAATTAGTTGGGCGCAGTCAAGCATAAGGTTGTCCACTAAGAATGCATTGGAGCATTTTATGAGTGGTTGCCATATTGTTGAAATGTCCATACTTGGATTGCTAAAGATTTTATTATTGTTAGAAATGAATACGGCCTCTTTAAATTTGGGCTTTTTCCAATGGGTTTCTTTGTGGACAACCCGGCCTTCCGACCATTTCGCGTTGTGGTGCTTGGACCACACATGATCTGCAATGCCCGCCTTCATTGTTTCGCCGTTTTGCATATGTTTTTTATGTTCGTCAAGTCGTACATGTATAGGACGTTTTGTCTCTCCAATATACGACTCACCGCACTCGCAAGGTACCTGGTAGATGCACTCTTTTTCTTGGTTTGATGATTTCGGTTTTATTTTTGTTAGGACACTTCTTAGAGTAGTCTCAGACTTAAAAACAGTTTTAATTTTGTTCTGCCTGGCTATTCGCCTGGCATATGGAATCGTCAAAAGAGAGAGAGCATCCTCCTCAGGCTGGCGCACCAATAAGTCAGACTTGCAATTGGATATTATATTGTCTAGGGATTTTGCAGAGTAACCATTCTAAGGCAAATTGGTTTTAATATTACTTAGTTCAGAATTCATTCTTGGTTACTGCATATAGTGATTGTGATTGCTCATTGACATAATATTTTAACTAAACCTCTTTTGGTTGCTTCAAAATGGTTCGACTGAGAATTTAAATATCGTCCCGTATGTATGGGTTTTTTTACAGCAGTGCTAATGGATTCATAGCTTCTACCGACAAGAACATCCAGAAACGGTAGACAGAACTTTTTCTCTTTCTCGTTCATGAATCTGATTGAGTTACTCCGTGAATTAAGATGATTAAGAAAGAAATCCAACTGTCTATCTGTTCCGTTCCAGATTATAAAGGTATCATCAACATATCGAAGCCAGATTTTAGGTTTGACAACTGCGGTACTATTGACATTAGTCTCGAACCATTCTATATATACATTCGCTGCCACTGGAGAGAGCGAGGAACCCATAGGTAAACCATCATTTTGACCATAAAACTTTTCTTTAACTTAAAATAAATAAGAATTATGTAGACAGCACCTCAAGAGCTCCATCACTCCCCTAAGAGATAGCAAAGTCCATTCGGAAAATGCTACGTCATCCCTCAATCTAGCCTCGACGATGTCTAACGATCCCTCTAAAGGAACGTTGATGTATAAATTATCTACGTCAAAACTGACAAATTTGTCTGAAGGACCTAATATTTTATATCGATGGTGTAAAGTTAAAAAGCAAAAACTTACCTGGACTAAGTGGTTGTCCTCTAGGTGATAAATTTGGTGACACTGATAACGGACTGTAATGGGAACTGTTTCTGGAAGAACCTGTGCTAGTATTGTAACGTGGTTGTGTTTCTCTGGAAAATAAATAACGGGAATTAATAATTAAAATCCAGAAGTCTGAAGTATTATCTTATTTCACTTAAAAAATTATAATTTTTAATTTTTAGATTTTTTATTAAATCATATATGTGATTCCTTTTGTTTTACTAGTAACCAATTGTAACAATAATATTTTAAGTAGCTTTTAAAAAGAAGTACATAGAACGAGATGTACGTAATTTTCTTTCTGTATTTACTATTATGCTTAGTGTACACCTGCAGTTGATGTTATAAACGTTCTAAAGCGTTTGGTAAACTTTGCTCTTTCAATAAATAAACAAACATTAGTTTTATCCGTGTCTATTTTGGATAGAGGTCGTTGGTAAGGTCTCTGGCGTCGTTACATTTATTTAGGAGAGTCAAAGTGAAACGTTACAGGTTCAAGAAGATGTTATATAAAACGCTTTTATAAACTTAAATAGAATAGTACGTATAGAGAGAGAGAGAGTTATAGGCGAGAAAAAATATCAGCAATAACTCAGTTTTATATTGTGTATGGTATTATAATAAAAATTAAATTCTTAGACTATTAAATAAGAAATAACATGTAAATGTAAATACTCAATGTGGATCAATTTATGTTTTGATTTTCTATTCACAAAATGTCTTTTATTTTTTGTCTAATTTATAAAATCGTTATATACTGGCAACTGGAAAATAATTTTATGAAAAACAGTCTAAACTACTAAAAAATGGTTTTAATTAAAATTTAAAAATTTCTAGACAAAAATGGATATTAAACATTGTTCACTACATTAGAAGACAATAGGACAATATTTATTCTGCCTTGGAGAGTGATCACGCCCTCACGAGTCTGAATTACCTGGATCGCCAAAAGTAAATGATGGGGTATTAACCCATTAGTGCATATGATCCGATAAATCGCATGAACGTAGTTTTCCATTTTCGAGAAATGTCAACATAACTTTAAAATTTATTTGGGTTAAAATCAATACCGGCAAGGTTAGTCCGTATTTTTTTGCCAATAATATTGATTTTGTTTGAGCTTGAATTGCAAAAAGTAGTGTTTTTCTGAAGCATGGATTCGTCACTTTACAACAAGAGGCACGGAGGGTAAGAAAACATTTAATTATTTTTTAGAAAACGACTCAACTACACTTCATGAGGTAAAAATGCGTTGAGAAAAGATCAAACCAAACTCCTTTGAATGAAGTTAGAATCAGTACATCGAAGCTAAGAAACAACGGCGAATGCAGATTCTGTGGGGAAGATGGGAACATCTCATCACTACCATCATTCGTGCTTGCCATAAACTTTGGTACGATATGACTGATATCGGAGATGAAGAACTAACCTCTGTAAAATCGTCTCAGATACTGGCTTTTGTCAAACTGTATGATGAGTTATAACTCAAGAAATGGGGACATAGTAGGGAGACTACAAGTATTTTTTACTCTAATAATATTTGTTTTGACTTCTTCTTTCTCAGCCTGGTTCCATCCAGTGTTGGATATAAGCCTTCTAGTTTTTTCCATGCTTCGCGATCTCTAGCCAATCTTATCCATTGTCTTCCTGCCACTGTTCTGACGTCATCGACCCATCTCTTTTTTGGTCGGCCCATACTTTTTGTTGTTCCCCTAGGTCTCCATAGAATGACTTTTTGGGGCCATCGGTCTGGATCCTGTCTTGCCACATGTCCGATCCATTGCCACTTCAGACTTGGCACTCTTTTAACAACATCTATTAGTTTTGTTTTTTGACGTATGTTCCGCATTTTTTCCCTCATGGTGACCCCTAACATGATTCTTTCCATGGCTCTTTGTGCAACTCGCAGTTGTTCTGCTTTTTTTCGTGTAATTGCCATAGTCTCTAAGCCATACGTAAGCACAGGTGGTAGGATGCAGCTATCGTAAGCCTTTTTCTTTAGGTTGATGGGCACCTTTTTATCTTTGAAAATATCGCTCATATTTCCAAATGCTACTCATGCCAAATGGGTTCCTGCGTTTGATCTCCGTATTTTGGTTCTCTTCACCCAGCTTGATTTTATGACCTAAATATATATATATATATATATATAATGATCTACGTTTTTAATAACAACGTTGTCTACGTTTTGACTTATTAGTCTTTATTTTAGTTGGAATATTTTCTATTGCAATCGCATTAAAACTGGTTGTTCTTTCAATCATCAGTACTGTATCCCTTTTTATGCGAATATTTTCGATTTGTTTGCTCCAGTTCAAAAATAAACTTAAAGCTACGAGAATCGAACTCTGGCTGGGGGAATGTTAAATATAAACAAATCACCATGATATCTGTCTGTTTCTTTTTTCTTGCTCTTTTATTTCGAGATATAATCTTGCCAAGAGTGCCAGTTTCCAACGTCCAGCACAACAATATCAGACAAAACAGAGTAGGACGTGTAGGCGTATCCAGTTGAGATTCAGTTCCTGAATAGAGATAATTCGATGTTTTACTTATATCTATCGTTTTAGATTAAAAAAAAAATAATTCCGAATTTAAACCATTTATACACGGTGAGTCATAAATAAGTGCAAATATTTTCAGAGTTGGTAGATCTCGATGAAAGAAACATATTTTCTCTTTACTGCTTTTCAGATTGGTCCAAAATAACCGAGTTATTTTACATTGAAAATTAAAAAATAAATGATTAGATTTTTTGCTTAAATTTTGAGAACCACTGGACCTTTCCTGGATTTTCTTTCTTGTAAAATTAATCTACTACCTATGTTGCCACATTATCAAGAAATTATGATTTTTAACTAAAAATTAAAAAAAAATCATTTATTTCAAGAAAAAACTCGATGGTGTAGTCTAAAATTGGAGAATTTTAGACTACACCATTTAAAAATAATTTTTACTCAATGTAAAAATAAATTACAAACTTCTTAAGGCCAACTGGCAGTAAGAACTATTAAAAATAATGAGGAGTACGGGCCAAGTAAATGATGTCTAAGACTTGACATCGCCAAAATTATCAACGATTGTTATTTCCTAGTAGGCTTTGATACCTTTTTTTATCGTGTAGTATTATTAAATATTAAACCAGTAAATTAATAATAAAAATAAATTCAGTCACGTAAATAAATAGTAGACAATAATTTTCAGTTGAATATATTACGAGTAGACATATCGTGCTTGTGATCTATCAATATTAGAATCTATTTTTTTTATTTTGAACGAGTTATTTCGAGTTTTTAATATGTTATGGGAAAATGTGCCAGAAAAATAATTTGTAATATAATTATAAAGATCAACAGCAGATGGCACAATGTTACATGCCATGATTAATCTGACATTTTATAAATTATAATACATACTTCAAATAAAATGTTAGATTGTGATTAAATATTAGATAATAAAATACATTGATTGCCACTCAATCCTGCCAAAAAATGGTAAAAATGGCAATTATATATGCTTTTTTAAGTAGAACGCATACATAATACTCATTGATCAAAATACGTTACAGTTCATTATTTAAAAACTGTATTTATACAGGTCCCAGAACCAGTTCAACCCAAGAAAGTCCAGAAACACACCTATGAGATTTCTTTTCGCAGAAAAAAATTTTTGGATTTTTTTTTTAGTTTTTAGTTAAAGAACATAATTTCTTGATAATATGGCAATATAGGTATTAGATTAAATTTACAAGAAAGAAAATCCAGAAAAGATTCAGTGGTTCTCAAAATTTTAGCAAAAAAATTTTTTTTTTGGAAATTTTCAAAGTAAAGTAACTTCCTTATTTTGGACTTATTTGAAAAACGATAACGAGAAAATATATATATCTCTTTTATCGAGATCTACCAGCCCTTAAAATACTTGCTCTTATTTCTGGGACATCCTGTATAAACCGCATCATATCATACGATTGAAAAAATCCGTGTCAAAGTTGGTTTGGACATGAAGAAAATCGCTCTCAAATTCTATGTAAAGTTATATGGTCACGCCATTGATCATTATTTACCAAACCCAGCCAACTTGACGCTTTTTTTCGATCATACTGTACTCATTAGCTGGTGTTCCACTTGGAAATAGATAATTTGATTTAATTGAGGCAGGATCTAGGAAAAAGTCTGGTAAAAGTAATTCGGGTCTAATCCCTCCAATCCCCCAATTAAAATAAAATTACATTTCTGTTACAAAAAACATGATCTAAAGTCTGCCCAACGAGACGGGAAAAAATTCGACAGACAACAGACATACAACTGTCACTCTCAGGGATTCCCCAGTAACTATTTAGGAGTTACTGCTATAATACCCATTTCGGGTTTCTGGTTGTGTGAGTGTATAATAATAGTATGTTGCTTTGTTGTATATTAAGTTTATGAGAGTACTCATTGCTATTTTCATATCACGATTAAACAACGTTGCCTTTAAAACTATTAAACTGGTCACTATAACTTTAAAATACGGATGTCATGCGTCTATAATTAATGTTTTACACAAATATCAAACAGTTAAAAAAAATCGTATCCTGTGATAGCGGTTTTGAAATAAAATTGCTTCTATCCCACGCCAAGTTTTCCAAAACTTATTTTACTCGTCGCTATCTAGTTTCGTGTTACACTAATCCAGTTAAATATGAAAATATTAAAATTATTTGATGTTAAACAGTGGGAAAATATTTTAGATTTGCCGTGAAGTTAATATGCATATTTTATTTAAACTGAGACACTTAAAATCTTAACGATATTTTAAATTTGGCACAGCTTATTGATATGCTTGACATTTCCCCGGTTTATACTTATGAATTTATGATATACGCGTATATATAAATTGTGAAATAGTATTTAGTTCACGTAGTTTTTGAACGTTTTATTTCAATTCAAATCCTCGTAAACAAATGCTGAAACAAAATATCGGGCTATTCCTCACTAAACATAATTTGCGACACTGTTGTTCTACTACTAACAGAAGAAAATCTATCTATTATTCAAGAATTGGTTAGTTTTCACATTATGCCATGATTTTTTTTATCAAAAAAGTGCTA